CCCCCACCGACCAAACTGTGCAGCTCTGCAACTGCATCCTAGCCCATCCTCACCCTTCTGCCCCCAACCCTCACCTCCTTGTACCCCAATATGTTTTTCCCAATAAAAAATGTATACAAAAAAAAAAGAATATTCATCCTAAAATCGATTAACATTTGGCCCAGAAAGTTCTGGCACACCGAAATGCTGGTGGACTATAAGCCAGGGACCCCAATCCATCATCTGCCAAGTCCAATCTGCTGACACCCACTTGGCATGATAACAAAGCCAGTGGAACCTTGCATGTTCCATATGTGACCCTCAACAAGATGCGAACAGTCATCATCCAGCATAAGACCAATTCACAATAGCCATCAGCCTACAGATGTAACAAGGCATTACCACCTTTTAAAATTTTGGCATGCCCAAATGCTGGTGGACTATGCATATAGACTGAAAAAAATATGGAGAGAGGATACATCGCTGATGTACTCCTTTCTTGGTTTTAAAGCACGCAGTGCTCCCTTGCTCTGTTCGAACAACAGCATCCTGGACTAGGTATAAGATTCACATAAGTACAATTAAGTGTTCTGGGATTCTCGTTCTTCTCAACATAAGCCACAATTTGTTGTGACTCACAGAGTCAAATGCCTTTGTGTAGTCAATAAAATACAAGTAGACATCCTTATGGTACTTCTTTCAACCAAGATCCATGTGACATTGACAATGATATCCCTAGTGCTATGGCCTCTTCCAAACACTGCTTGTATTTCCTGCAATTCTCTGTTGATGTACTATCCCAGCGATTTTTAGATAATCTGCAGCATGATTTTGTTTGCATGTGATATTAGTAAAATTGTCAATAATTTCCCCCCCAAAAAAAGTTATTGAGTTTTCTTCTAATCCTGATGCCACATTCTACTTTAATTTACAAAGAAATTTGGAAGACAGCTACCTGGCCAACTGCATATGGAGTTTTTATAAATCAGAGCCAACTCAAGAATACCTAACAACAACTCCCAACTCCAAGATCTTTATATCACTTTACCTGGATAAAGGTTATCTGCTTTTAAGATTTCAAATTAAATTTCACTTCCTCTAGTAAGTCTTCTCTTGCCTATTCTTTTTTTTTCTCTTCTCGTAATTTTTTTTTACACTGGTTTACCTACAAAGTTAATATACATTGCCCCTCACCTTGGATCACTGTTACATCCCCAACACTCCCCCCCATCTTTACCCATCAAACTATGCTCTTAACCTGAGATTGCAAGAAGTGCAAGTGAGAGAAATCAAAACAAAACCCACTGTGTTGAGTTGCATGTGCCTCAAACAAAAAACAAAGGGAGAGAAGAACTACCTCAAAGGGCCTACTTAATTGTGCATATTTATACAAGCAGATTTCCACATCTTTCTCCCACAAAACAGCTCATAGGTTCAAACAGCTTACATTTTGGGTAGTTGTGGTTGTTAGGTGACTTGTTGTTAGGTGAGTATGACTCATAGTGACCTTATGAACAGCCAACCTGAACCCTGCCCTACCCTGTGTCATTGTTATCATCTCTAAAACCCTCAAACCCATCATTGAAGTCATTGTGTCTTTGGGTAGAGTGAGTGCTTTAACTACTGTACTAGCGCAGTGAGAGGAGGCTGCCTTAAAAATAAAATTTAAAAAAATCCTAATTAAATCATTACTTCAATATAAATTTCCAAATCCCACAAAAAAATCTTTAGAGGCAATATTTTCAGTTTGCTTTATTAACTTTAAAGCAAAAGATCAAATCTTTAATTCAGCAGCATTTAAATAGTATGCTTTATAACACATCAATAATAAATATTGTCTGATTTCTAGTTCTAAAAACACCACCAAAAGATGGAAATATATTTACCTTCAAACAGCTTAATTTTTGCCCTATATTGCCTCCTTTCACCATCTAATATTAGTGATGTTTTTAAGGTAAATTTAAAAGTTACAATTAAAATCTTCCCACAATTCAATGCTGTGAAATATGACAAAAAAAAGAGCATAATATTTTTCAAGGGTAACAGAACCACCACGATAATTATCAAAGCTAGGTGATGGACTCAAAGGAGGTTTTTTTTCCTATGTGTTTGAAAACTTTCATCATAAAAGTTATTTAAATATTCACTTCTGCAGTTATGATTGAGAACAGAGATTAATTCTGTTACATCTATTGAATTTCTGAGTAGCAGCAAGCACAGAGCTCTTGTTGTTATTGTTAGGTGTCGTTGAGTTGAGTACGACCCATAGAGACCATTTGAACAAAAGATCTGAGCCTTCCTCACACTTCCTCCTCCATCTTCACACTTTCTGACACACAAGAACCCATTGCAGCAGTCACTGTGTCAATCCACCTGGTTGAGAGTCTTCCTCTCCTTTGCTGACCCTTCACCCTTCCCGGTATCATATCCTTCTCCAAGGAATAACCTCTCTTAGCAATATGCCCAAAGTCTGTGAGGTGAAGCCTCATCATTCTTGTCTCCAAAGAGAACTCTGGCTGCACCCTCTCCAAGACATAGCTGTTCTTAGGAAGACCAAAAAGCAGTAATGTCCCAAGGCTATGCTATGTAATGGCTAAGGGTAGTAAAAAGGGTTAGGAAAAAGTGACGGAACTGATTACATTTCTATTTTAAAACCTTTTAATAGTTTTTTCTGCCCACGTTATTTTATTGTTTTCAAATGAGTGTTAGTTGTTGTTACATTCATTTGAGATCTAAAATAGAATACAAACAGTATCTAACAGACTATCATGAAATAATAATGAGAGAATAAATCTATTTCAAATAAGTACCTGCAATACTTTTTAACAAATGTTAAAATGCAAATATATTACTCTGAGGAGCAACATACAGCTGACACAAAGCATGTTGTTGTTGATCATATGCGTAAAAACCCAAAAAGTAATAACAAAGAGCAAAAAAAGAATAGATGTCTCTGAATTATAATACTGGTGAAGAACACGGAATCTATCACGAATTCCCTAAAGAACACACAGAGGCGCCTTGGAGAACGTACAGCCAGAGTGTCCTTTAAGGTGAAGATGCTAAGACTTCATTGTGAGTCCTGTGTACACATAATCAGGAGAGACCCATTGTCTAAAGCAAGTCATGCTAAAGTCATGCTTGGTACAGTAGAGGGTCAGGGAAAAAGAAAAAGATCCTCATGGAGACACACTGACAAAGTGACTACAAAAATGGGTTTCCATATAGGAATGACTGTAAAGACGGAAATAAACCAGAGCGCTTCATTCGTCCATCCCCAGGGTCGTGGTAAGTCTGAGTCAATGTCACAGCACCAAACCACATCTGCAACATTAACCTCCAAGGCCAACAGTGTAAGGGAAGATGTCAGTGCATTTCCACTTCATTCTTTTACTAAGAGAATTGATGCTTTTGAGCTGTGGTGCTGGAGAAGAGTGTTGAATATACCATGGACTGCTAGGAGAACAAACAGGTTTGTCCAGGAGAGGGTGAAGCCAGAATGTTCCTTGGAGTAAAGGATTCTGAAGGTTCGTCCAACATACTTTGGACATGTGGCAAGGAGGGACTGGTCCTTGGAGAGGGACATCATGTTTGGGAGAGTGGAGGGACAGCGCAGGAGAGGAAGACCCTCGATGAGATGGATTCTGTGAGTGGAGTGGTGGGAATGAGTGCGTTTGAGATGGCGAGGTTGGCACAGGATAGAATGGCGTTTAAGGCTCTTGTACATAGGGTCACTATGAGTTGCAAGCAACTTGATGGCACATAACAACAACAACACAATAAGGGTGTGACGAACTGATTACTGAATAATATTTTAATCATACTTGAAATCTATTTCATACTCAATATTAGTCAGATAGTAGGTGATTTTTTTCCTTCTACTCACTATTTTGGATTTTTCTTCAGAATAACTATAGTTTAAAAGGGATGTTAACTTGGCAACTGAAAGCAAAAAGGAAGAACAAGCAAATATCATTAATATCACTTTAGGACTTACCTAGTCTTTTATACAATGAATTATATATACTCCTGACATCAATAAGCACCTTTTAATCTGCATTATGTAACTTGACACAGCTGACTATAATAAAAATGAACAGTAGCCAACCTGTGCTTTCCTCATGTACACCAAAGGTTCTTTAAGATGTTCAGGAGGTGCAGCAGGATGAGTAGGTAAAGGAAACCTAGGAGTAAAAAGAGAAAACTAAACATTACACACTGCTCTTCAGAATAATTACTTCTTCTTGATTAAAAATTACACACATGTAAAGTTCATATTATAAATTAAATAGAACACATATTACTAGTTCTATTAGTATAAGCTCTAGAGAGCTCTGATGGTTTAGTGGTAAGAAATCATGCTGCCAACACTTTAAAGATACATGGTTCAAATCCACCAGCTGTTCTGCAGAGAATGATAGGCAGTCAATTCCCCTGTGATTCAATGACTCTGAAAACTAGCTGGAAGGTCAGCTATGGATTGGTTCTGACTCAATGGTACACAATAACAGCAACATTAGTACAAGCACATAGGACTATTGTTAGTATTATAACTTTAGATTAAAACTAGGGAGAAATTTAATTATCTAATTGCATGTGAAAAGTTAAATTACACGGAAATCTAAATTAAGAAACTGAAGTAATATGAAATTACTTAGCTGTGGAAAGGCTCATGAGAGTTGTTATATTTGTTACTTTTAGGATATATAAATCAGAACATAAGAGGAACTTTTAAGAATAAAAAAGAACTCTATTAACTTACCAACATCCCAATTCTTTCAGTTCTTCCAGTTTCCTTTCTGCCCTTGTCCACATAATTTGATGTATTTTTAACCAAATAATTATGTTCATATAGTTATACACACGCATGTGTGCGTGCACATGCGTGTGTACACACACACACACATAATTGAAATTCAAATAATGTTTTGGTAACATCTATGCTTTAATATTTGATACATAAATGTCATAAAATTTAAAGTTTCAATGTATAACAAATTTTTGTTTCACAAGTTATATTTTGTAACAAACGTTTATTTTTATTAAGAAGGCAAATTCATTTAGACAATAAATATTTTAGTATTATTAGTACTAAATTCTGAATGCCATTCATCTTTTAATTTCCTGATTGCTGGTGCCAACAGTGCTGATTGTGGAGTTGAGCAAGCAGAAATTGTTAACAATCTCAATCTCTTCTCCATCTATCAAGGTGCTGCCAATTGACCCAGGGGTGAGAATCTCTCTTCTTGATGTTGAGCTTCAATACATATTGAAGACTATAGTTTCTTACCTTCTGCAGCAAATGCTTCAAGTCTTCATCAGTTTTAGCAAGCAAGGCTGCGTTATCTGCATGGCACAGGCTGTTGATAAGTCTTCCTTTAATCATGATGCCACATTCCTCCTTATAATGTCAGCCTCCCAAATGCTCTGTACCACATATAGAATGAAAGGTATGGAGACAGAAAGTGTCCCTGACACACTCCTTTCCTGCTTTTGAATGATGTAACGTTTCCTTGTTCTGTTTTGATGACTGCTTCCTGGCCCAAGTACAAGTTTCACATCAGCACAATTAAGTGTTCTGGAACTCCCATTCTTCTCAAGATTAACCACAATTTGTTGTGATCTGCACAGTCAATGCCTTTGCTTAGTCAATGAAACATAGAAATACATTCCTCTGGTACTCTCTGCTTTCAGTCAAGACCCATCTGACTTTGGCTATGTCTCTAGTGCCACAACCTCTTCTAAACCCAACTTATATTTCTGGTATTTCTCTATTGATGTACTGTTCCAGTGGTTTTGTGATAATCTTCAGCAGTATTTTGCTTGCATGTGATATTAGTGAGATTGCTCAAAAAGGTCCACAATCCGACAGGTAACTTTTTCTTGGAACAGAAATGAATATACATCTCTTCCAGTCAGTTGGTCA